GTCCCTCCGGAAAGCAGATAAGGGTGGGGAGGGAAAGATGTCTTTGGTGGTGGGGTCGGATTGCAGATGGCGGAAGTGTCGGAGGATGATGCGTTGGATCCGGAGGTTGGTGGGGTGGTACGTGAGGATGAGGGGGATTCTTTTTTGGTTCTTATTGCATGGACAGGGTGTGAGGGATGAGTTGCGGGAGATGTGGGAGACACAGTTGAGGGTGTTCTCGACCACTGAGGGGGGAAAGTTACGGTCCTTCAGGGTCATTTCTCTGCACAGACAGGTGTTGTTCCACAAGGTGGTCATGCAGTCTGCATTTTGTCTTGTCAATTTAGAGGAGGTCACATTTTGAGCAACAAGCACATAGAATCCTTACAGCATGGAAATAGGCTAATCGGCCCAACAAGTCCACACCATCCCACTGAACAGCATACCAACCCTTTCCTTGTAACCCTGCATTTCACATGGTTAATCTACCTAACTTACACACCCCTGGACACTGCAGGCAATTTAGCATGGCTAATCTACCCAACCTGCACATCTTTGGACTGTGGGAGGAAACCGGAACACCTGGTGGAAACCCACGCAGACATGGAGAAAATGTGCGAACTCCACACAGACAGTCACCCGAGGGTGGAATCAAACCCAGGTCACTGGCGCTGTGAGGCTGCAGTGCTAACCAATGACCCACTGTGCCACATGGAGACTATATTGAAAGAAATACAAGCGAGTGTTGCTTCATCTGGAAGATATGTTTGGGGCCTTGGACAGTTAAGAAGGAAGAGGTGAACGGGCAAGTGTTACACCTTCTGTGATTCCATGGGAAGGTGCCATGGGGAAGTGAGGAGTGGTGGAAGAGTAGACGTAGGTGTCATGGACAGAACAGTTACTTTAGAATGTTGACAGTGGAGGGGAAGGTGTCTTTGGTAGTGGTATCATGCTGGAGGTGGCAGATATGGAAGAGGATGGTCCTTTGAATGCTGAACCTGGTTGTGTGGTAAGTGAGGACAAGGGGAACCAATAGTTTTTCTAGGAGGGATGGGAAGGGTTGAGGACTTAAGTGCAGGTGATGGGATCAGATGAGGTTGAGGGCCCTGCCAATCACAATGGGTGGAGAATTCCTTGGTTGAGTTAAAAGGAAGTAATGTCCCTGTGGAATGTGGCATCATCAGAACAGATGTGATGGAGACAGAGAAACTGGAAAAAGGGAATGGGATCATGGTAAGAATCAGGGTATGAGGAGGTGTAGTCAAGGTTACTGTGGGAGTTGGTGAGTTTGTAATGGATATTGGTGGACAACTTCTCCTTAGAAATGGGGTCAGGAAGGGAAGGGAAAGTTTCAGTGAATGGACCAGGTGAATGTGAGAGAAGGATGGAAAGTGGAAACAAAACTGATTAATTTTTCCAGTTGTGGATGAGAACAGAGGAAGCAGCACCGATGACATCATTGATGGATCAGAGAAAGAGTTGTGGCTGGAGCCAGAATAGGACTGAAACAAGGAATATTCCCCAGACCTGACAAAGGGACAGGCATAACTGGGACACATATGCATACCCATAGCCACAACTTTGACTTACAGAAGTTTGTTTATTTTCTCTGGATATCCTCTTAATCTGTTGCCCTCTCTTCTCCTCCCCCTCTTCCAACAGCATAAAAACCATTATTTTCCAACCCCTTTCAATTCTGAAGAAGAGACATATCAGACTCGAAACATTAATTTTGTTTGTCTTCCCACAGATGCTGCCAGAACTACTGAGTTTCTCTGGCACTTTCTGTTTTTATTCTTAACAACAATAACTGGATTGTAACTAACAAAAATAACTAACAAAAAAATGAAATAAGGTTCAAAGATCTTTTTAAAGTTCATTCACAGGATGTGGACATTGCTGACTGTGCCAGCACTTATTACTTATCCCTATTTACCCAGACAGCATTTGAGAGTCAACCAGATTGTGAAGGGTCTGGAGTTTTACGTGGGCCAAACTAGGTGAGGATGGCAAATTTCAATTCCCTGGAGGACATTAGTAAACCAGTTTTTTTTTCCCCTGACAATCAGCAATAGTTTCACGGTCGGCATTAGACTCTAAATCTCAGATTTGTATTGAATTCAAATTCCACCATCTGCCATAACAGGATTTGAGACTGGGTCCCCAGGATTAATAGTCTAGTGATAATACCACTAGGCAATAATCTCCCCTTGGTAAGTAAGACTAACAATTTAAATAACAATTGACAATGGACCAATGACAAGGGTCAGAGATTTGGGTCTGATTTTCAGTGGTACCAAGTCTTTACCGTTTAATAGTACTTTGAATTTCAGATCCTTTCCTGGCTTACATCTGCAGGTGTACGTGAAGCTGAGGAGGATGGCGTTTGTGATTGCCCACCCTGACTACAAAATTTGGTTGAAATAATGAAAGGAGAGGAGAAGAAAAACTTTGAAAAATGTGAATGCCAATCCCATTTGCTGTGAATGTCCATGCCTGTGGTTTATCCAGGATGGGCATCATTCTAATGGAGGCAAGAACTTGCAGTTTTAACATGTAAGTGCCTTTCCACCACCAATTGTGAATGAGGAATAGTGGGAGTACTGTTTCCCAGTCTCCGAGCTAATCCACAATCAACAATTACACCCCTACCTCACAACCCGAATCATCCTCACTAGTCTTCACACCCACTGACTGATGACCTGAATGCTGTT